AAAATAATTAGCAAGTTTGTTAATGAGATAAATCAAGTTATACAAATGATTAATTAATCAAAGTATTATTTTAGTTATATTTCACTTATGCGTTAATAGGTAAAAATCAATCTCCAAATTACTATAATATCAACAATATTTTTCTAAGAAAGGTAAGGCATTATAATAATTCAATTACTTAATTTCAGTAAGATCGATCAAGTTATTACATCGACTCAACTACTTTCAACTTTCAAGTAGCCTAACATCGGCACAAACGATCAGTACTTTAAAAATTTTAGAAGAACATATATTCCCTAAAAATCTATTTATAAATTTAAGACAAGTCTAAAAGTAAAAAATAAATGAGTAATGCTATAGGTACATAATATTGTATATAGGGGTGTACATAACACTCATATTAAGTGGAACCCACTAAAAATAAAAAATTAAGTGGACTTCACTCCATGTCGGTGTTAAGTACATCTCTATTACATTATTATATATATGTCATTTTTCAAAAGGAATATCCCATTTCTCCTTCAATATCTTTAAAATGCAGTAGCAAACATGAAAATGTGTTGAAAATTATTATTTAATACCTATTCACCCGTGCATCATACCGGCTACGCACTAGTATACATAAAAAAAGATCTTTGATTTTCTCCATGAATTAACTTTGTCACCCTCCCTATAAAAAACAACCCACTCTAAATTGATTTTTCTAATCCACAAAGACACATCGACAAATCAACGAACTAATCCACGAATTAACTTAGTAATATTTTTGAAAATTTTCAAAAAATCCCATCTCTAAAAATTAATTAATCAATTTATGGTACAAGTTGCAAAAATTAATAAATCTGATTTTGATATAAAGTTGAATATTTTATTTATTTATCTAATTGTTATTTTTATATTTGATAGGAAATGTGTTGTTATTAATGAATCAACGAGCTTGTGGTATAAGGTGGACAATTATATTTTGGTATGAATGTACAAATTTAAATGCTATGAATTTTATCTGGTATGGATAGAAGTGCATTTGAAAATTTTAAAAATATTATAAACTTTTTGAAAAGCTGACGGTTGATTTTTAATTTGAATTTCAAATTCATTCAAACATTTAAAGAAAAATATCATAAGCATATATTTTTGGATACATTTCATATAATCTTAACTTAAATATAATCACATTCCCAACAAACATTAAATTTGATTATATATTTTTAAATTAATTACATCAATAAATAATATTAATATACATTAAATATTTATCATTAGATAAAAAAAAATATTATTTCTATAAGTGTTATAAATAATAATGACGTTATATTTTTTAAAAAATAATGTTTGAGTATTATGATGAACTAAAATATGTAAACTTATTATTTTTTATTTATTAAAATAAATATATGTGTTAAAATATTATTTGTATTAATATAAATGGGTCAGCGGGCTAGTATATTGTTAAATAAAATTTTTAAAAAATGTTATAAGGTACGAAACCGGCGTGCATCGCACGGGATTCTCACTAATTTTATAAGAAAACATGATAACAAAATAATACATTAGCACTTAGAAATATTAAAAAAAAAAACTAAAAATTTGTCATCGAGGCGTCGCCTAACCGCCCAACCGATTTTTTTTTCTTCAGCCGATTCATGCAATTCAGAGGCGACCGCCTAGGCTGATTTTTAATAAAGTGGTACAAACTTTGTCTCTTAGGTCACACCATCAGCGTGTATGCCTCCAGGTCGAGTTTCTACAAAGTTAGCCGAAAGCCCTAGCTCGACCTGTTGATGAGCTCTCTTGCCTGTGAAGTCACCATCGAC